ACAGCCTGGTACTGGTACAACAACAGATACATAGACCAATGGAACAGAATTGAGAATCCAGACATAAATTCATCCACCTAGCAGCAGCTGATATTTGACAAGGCCCAAAGTCCAGTGATTGGGGAAAAGACAGTCTCTTTAACAAATGGTACTGGCCTAACTGGATATCTATATGCAAAAAACTGAAACAAGACCCATATCTCACACCATGTACAAAAACTAACTCAAAATGGATCAAAGACTTAAATATAAAATCGAAAACGATGAAGATCATGGAAGAAAAAATAGGGACAACGCTAGGAGCCCTAATAAATGGCATAAACACAATACAAACCATAAGTAACGATGTACAAGCACCAGAAGAGAGACTAGATAAATGGGAGCTCCTAAAAATCAAACACTTATGCTCATCCAAAGACTTCACCAAAAGAGTGAAAAGACAACCTACAGACTGGGAAAAAACTTTTGGCTACGAGAAATCTGATCAGCATTTAATCTCTGAAATGTATAAGATACTGCAAAATCTCAACAGCAAAAAGAGAAATAAACCAATTAAAAAATGTGCAAAGGATATGAACAGTCACTTCACCAAAGGAGATATTCAGGCAGCTAACAGACACATGAAGAAATGCTCACGATCATTAGCCATTAGAGGAATGCAGATCAAAACTACAATGAGATATCATCTCACCCCAACAAGGCTAGCATTAATCCAAAAATCACAAAATAACAAATGCTGTCGAGGTTGTGGAGAGACTGGAACACTTATACACTGTTCGTGGGAATGTAAAATGGTACAACCACTTTGAAAATCAATTTGGCGCTTCCTTAAAAAGCTAGAAATAGAAGTCCCATATGATCTAGATATCCCGCTCATTGGAATATATCCTAGAGAAACAAGAGCCGTCACACGAATAGATGTATGCACACCCATGTTCATCGCAGCACTGTTCACAATAGCCAAAAGACAGAAGTAACCTAAGTGCCCATCATTGGACGGATGGATAAACAAAGTATGGTATATCCACACAATGGAATACTACACAATGATAAAGAACAATGGTGAAGCTGTGAAACATCGTATAACCTGATGGAAGCTAGAACGTATTATGCTGAGTGAATTTAGTCAGGCACAGAAGGACAAATACTTTATAAGACCACTATTATAAGAACTCAAGAAAAAGTTTAAACACAGAAGAAAACGTTCTTTGATGGTTACGGAGGTGGGGAGGGAGGGTGAGTATTATTCACTAACTAGATAGTAGATAAGAATCATCTTAGGTGAAGGGAAGGACAGCATACACTACAGGGGGAGCCAGCACAACTGTACTAAACCAAAGCTAAGAAGTTTCCTCAATACAATCAAATACTCTGAGAGACAGAGTATCTGGGATGCGGGGTCTGTGGACCATGCTTTCAGGGGACGTCTATGTCAATTGGCATAACAAAGCTTAATAAGAAAATGTTCTGCATCCTACTTTGGTGAGTGGCGTCTGGGGTCTTAAAAGCTTGCAAGCGGCCATCTAAGATGCATCAATTGGTCCCAACCACTTGGAGTAAAGGAGAACGAAGAACACCAAAGACACAAGGAAAGTATTAGCCCAAGAGACAGAAAGGGCCACATAAACCAGAGACTTCATCAGCCTGAGACCAGAAGAACTAGATGGTGCCCAGCTACCATCAATGATTGTCCTGACAGGGAACACAACAGAGGGTCCCTGATGGAGCAGTAGAACGATGGGATGCAGAGTTCAAATTCTAGTAAGAAGACCAGACTTAATGGTCTGACTAAGACGAGGTGCCCTGGAAATCATGGCCCCTGGTCTTTCCATCACCCCGGAACTAAAACAATTTCCAAGGCTAACTCTTCAGACAGGGATTGGACTGGACTGTGGGACATAAAGTGATACTTGTGAAGAATGTGCCTCTTAGACAAGTAGATACAAGAGGCCAAAGGGGCGGCTTCTGTCCAGAGGTGAGCTGGGAAGGCAGAGAGAGTTAGGAGCTGGTTGAATGTTCATGGGGAATCAGGGCCGGAGGGGAGGAGTGTGCTGTCGCAGAATGGGGTGAGCGGTTGGGGTCTCATAACAATGTATGTAAAAAAAAAAAAAATTCTGTATGGGAGACTAACGTGAAATGTAAACTTCATTTAATTACAACAATAAAAAAAAAAAGCAAGGATGGTGAGACTACATCTCATATATTTTGGGCATGTTATCAGGACGGACCAGTCCCTGGAGAGGGACATCATGCTTGGTAAAGTAGAGGGTCAGCAAAAAAGAGGAGGACCCTCAATGTGATGGACTGACACAGTAACTGCAAGCGTGGGCTCAAGCATAACGATTGTGAGGGTGGCGCAGGACCAGCCAGTGTTTCGTTCTGTCGTACATAGAGTCGCTGTGACTCAGAACCAACTCAGAGGCACCTAACAACAACAAGTGCACATTCCAATGAGAAGTAACCTCTAGGAGGGCTTGGTATGTAAAAGGTACTCTATGTACATGTTGAATGAATGAATGAATTTAAACAGGAACTTTTCTTTTTACCCTATAATTTTTTGATTAAAAGTCCTGCTGGATTATATTCAAAATAAGCCATGTACAATGTATAGTTATCACTTGATTAATGTTAAGTGTTTGCCTGTAAAATTAACAGTGTCCATTAATTATGAATATGAAAATTAATAGTTGTGTCTATACTGATACTTTGTGGAGTTAGTCTCTTGGTTTGCTTGACTCTAGAGTGTTAGAGAACATTAGGTGTGTTTTTTTGTAGTTGTTTTTGACTTATTTTTAAGCTATAGTTAACCATAAGAACAAAAAGACAAATTCAATTTTTGTAACTTTTTCATGCCTGTCATGTATTTTTGTATGTGCCTTTGATGAAGTAAGCAACATCTGATAAACGATACCTGTTAAAATATAATTGTAATAGTTTCCTGCTGTTTTTTGTTAGTTTTTTGGTCCACATAAACTAGTTTACACACAGAAACACGCCATCTCCATCCATCCGTATTTAGTAAACATCAATTCATAATGCATTACCAACATTAAGCAGAAATTTTGGATCTCAGAAAGTTGATGATTTTTTTATAAAATTTTTATTTTGTAAGTCAAACAAAGTGTTTAATTTAAAATCTCCTTAATTTTTGTCTTTCCTTTAAAGGTAGAAGTCCTTATAGATTTAGGATTCTTTTCTGAAGCCTTTTATGAGATGTCCCAGGTTTTACATGGGAAAAACATGCCTTCCACAGTATCTGCTGGCTGTAAAGCTCCTGGAAAAATAAAGGTAATCCTGCCTATTTGATTCAATGCCATTTCTTTGCCTTTGAAGGGTGCTTTCCTAAAATTTAGGGAACACCCTCACAAAAGTGTATTTAGAAGTCTCCAGGACCCCGACCTCTTCATTAAGACTGGTTATAGCTCACATCATGCTTTATGAGACTTCATATGTCAGGGCCCAGCTGAAAGTGGCCATGTGTCTGCAATAAAAGGGTGTTATGTAGAATAAAGTACAGTTTTGGAATAGATTTTTTCAATTGAGTTCTGACTTAGGGATGCTGCACTGTGCTCTTTGTTATAGTTATAACGGATGGTCTCATTAGACAATTTTATCACCTTATCTCTTAGACTTTTGGGTCTAATAATTTTTGGTTAATGTTCTTAATCAAAATTATTTCTATTTAGATCTTATTTGGATCTTTTTTTGATTTATGTACTTTATACCAAAGAGTTAAGATTATCGTATTTGACATTTTGATCAAGCATTCTATAGAGGAATCTTAACCAAAGGGGGAAAATTCAGAACAGAATTTCAAATTATCATGGACTGTAGACTTTCTGGAGCCATAGAGGCTGGATGAACCCCTGAAGCTATTGCCCTGAGATAGTCTTTAACTCTTAAACCAAAAATATCCCCTGAAGTCATCTTAACACCAAACAGTAATTTAGTTTAACTAGTAAAAAATGTCTGCCTTGAGCATTATGCTGTTTTAAGAACTGTCTATATGTGATCAAATTGACAACAGCATCTTGAAAGATTAGATAGGAACTGTAGAGAACAGTGAGTTTATGTTCATGGGGGAGGAATAAATCAGAAAAGGAGGGTGAGAATGGTTGTACAAGTAAAAATGTAATCAATGTCACTGAATTGTACATGTAGAAAATGCTGAACTGGTATATGTTTTGCTGTGTATATTCTCAACAACAACATCAAAATAAATAAAATTTATAAAAACATGAAAAAAAAGTCTTGTAAAAATTTCTTCTGATTTTTGTGAGGGAAAATTTTCTTCTGATTTTTGTGAGGGAAAACTTTCTTCCATTTTGTCTAGTTGTTTCCAACTTTAGGAAATGGTGCTACTGGGCTTGATTAATCTGGATTTATAAATTAGATGATTAGAAGCATCATCCTTGAAAATGAATATTGGAGTCTATATTTAAAGTGTAAATTAAGTCAGAATGAGTTATCTTCGCCTCTGCTTCAGTTTTCATAATGATCTAGGAACCACTGGGTGATCTTGCTTTAGGCAAATCTCGGGCCCTGTGGGCTGCAATAAAGGAAGTAGGAGGAGGTAGCAAGTCAGTTTGCCTGGGGGAGGCCGGGTGTGAGGAGTGAGGCTGACAGACATGATACATGCCAGTTGGATTCAAATTTGGAGGAACTAAAAGAACCTGGGGAATGAGTGAGCTGTAAGTCTTGAAAATTACTTGCATAAACTGACATTATATTTACATATACTATGTTCATTACTTCAGTAATGAACTAAAACTTTGCTTATTCCTCGGTATGATGGCTACATCATTACCATTCATTGTAATAGGGTTAAATGTAAACAAGAGGGCATCATGAGTGTTATCATATGAGAAGTCACATAGGAAAGGTGGTTATTTGCAGTAAGCCGTTTTCCTGAGCAGAAAGGGTGGAAGAATTTCTTTAACCATGGATTGTTTTTCAGTATTACAGGGTTCAGGTAAAATTCAACATGGACAGTTCATTTTCTGTGGAATTCATCTCCTTACCTGGGTTAAATCAGCAGTACTTTCTTGCTTGGTTCTCAGTCTACAGCCTTTCTCTATTCTAACCCTTTTGCATTTTGCTATTAAAATTGTACTTTCATTCATTCAGAAATATTTATTGAGTGCCTACTATATGTAGGCACTGTTCTAGTCACGGGAGTAGAACAGTAAAAAAACAAGTGGAGATTTGTTCCCCTGGAGCTTTGAGGGAGTTGAGTCTTATGAAGATCTGAGGAACAACCTTAGTAGGGAGACCAGTTAAAAGGCCATTGCATAGGTATATACCAGAAGAAGTGACAGTAGGAACAGAAACAGAAAACTGTATACCAATTTTTTTTTACCTTTTTTTTTTTTTTTTTTTGTTTTATTGTACTTTAGATGAAGATTTACAGAAAAAACTAACTTCTCATTCAAGACTACACATATTGTTTTATGACATTGGTTAACAAGCCCACTACATGTCGACACTCTCCCTTCTCTACCCTGGGTTCCCTATTACTGGTTTTCCTGTCCCCTCCTGCCTTCTAGTCCTTGCCCCTGGACTGGTGTGCCCCTTTAGTCTCCTTTTGTTTATGGGCCTGTCTAATCTTTGGATGAAGGGTGAACCTCAGGAGTGACTTCATTACTGAGCTAAAGAGATGTCTGGGGGCCGTACTCTCGGGGTGTCTCCAGTCTCTGTCAGATCAATAAATCTGGTATTTTTTTGTGAGTTAGAATTTTGTACTACATTTTTTCCAACTCTGTCCGGGACCCTCTATCGTGATCCCGGTCAGAGCAGTCGGTGGTGGTAGCCAGGCACCATCTAGTTGTGCTGGACTCCGTCTGGTGGAGGCTGTGGTAGTTGTGGTCTATTAGTCCTTTGGGCTAAATCTTCCCCTTGTATCTTTAGTTTTCTCCATTCTCCCTTGCTTCTGAAGGGGTGAGACCAGTGGAGTATCTTAGATGGCCGGTCACAGGCTTTTAATACCCCAGATGCTACCTACCAAAGTAGAATGTAGAACGTTTTCTTTATAAACTATATTATGCCAGTTGAGCTAGCTGTTCCCCAAGACCCATGGTCCCCACAGCCCTCAGCCCAGCAATTCAGTCCCTCAGGCAGTTTGGATGTGTCTGTGGAGTTTCCATGACTGTACACCAATGTTTATTGAAGCACTTTCCATAATAGCCAAAATGTTCAACAAATGAATGGATAAACAAAATGTAGTGTACGCATACCATGGAATATTCTGCATTCATAAAGGAAAATGAAGTCCTGATGCATGCCACAACATCAATGAACCTTGAAAACATTATGTTGAGCGAAATAAGTCAGTCAAAAAAGGACAAACACTGATCTCATTTATATGAAATAATCAAATATCTAGAAACCAAAGATTGTTAGTGGTTACCAGGGGAGAGTTTTTGCGTAGGGGGAATTGGGTTTATATTAATCGTGGTGAAATACTTTAGAAAAGAATAGCAATAATGGTTGAACAGCATGAAGAATATAATCAATGCCACTAAATTAGACATATAGAAATTGTTAAATTGGTGAGTGTTTCGTTGTGTATATTTTCACCAAAATTAAAAAATTAGAAAGGCCATTGCAAATAATCTGGGTGAGAGATGATAATGGTGTGGGGGCAGTGATGGGAGGAGTGAAAATTGGTCAAACTCTGGGTATGTTGCAAAGGTAGAGCTGACAGCATTTGATGATGATGGTTTGGAGGTGAATAAAGAGAAAAGAGTCCAGGATGACCAGAGTGTTCCATCTGGGCAAATGTCAGAAAAATAGTTTTCATTTACTGAGATGAGGAATACTGCTTGGGCAGGGGTTGAACATATTAAATGAGAGCCCTAGTAGATCACAGGGTGGGGTATAGAGTATGTGAGTGCTTAGAGTCAATGGTCAGAACTTCAGGAGCTCCAGGTATAAATGCTATATCCTAGGCATTAGTGAGCTGAAATGGATTGGTATTGGCTATTTTCAATCAGATAATCATATGGTCTGCTGTGCCCCCAAGTGTCTGTCAGTTTGTCATACTGTGGGGGCTTGCAAGTTGCTTTGATCCTAGAAGCTATGCCACTGGTACTCAGATACTATCAGGGTCACCTATGGTGGACAGGTTTCAGCTGAGCTTCCACACTAAGACAGACTAGGAAGATGGACCCAAACAGTCTACTTCTGAAAAGAATTAGCTATTGAACACCTTATGAATAGCAGTGGAACATTGTCTGATATACTGCCAGAAGATGAGCCCACCAGGTTGGAAGGCCCTCAAAAGACAACTGGGGAAGAGCTGCCTCCTCAAAGTAGAGTCAGCCTTAATGATGTGGATGGAGTCAAGCTTTCAAGACCTTCATTTGCTGATGTGGCACGACTCAAAATGAGAATAAACAGCTGCAAACATCCGTTAATAATAAGAATGTGGAATGTGCGAAGTATGAATCTAGGAAAATTGGAAATTGTCAAAAATGAAATGGAACGCACAAACATCGATATCCTAGGCATTAGTGAGCTGAAATGGACTGGTATTGGCCATTTTGAATCAGACAACAATATGGTCTACTATGCCGGGACTGACAACTTCAAGAGGAATGCTGTGCATTCATCGTCAAAAAGAACATTTCCATATCTATCCTGAAGTACAACGCTGTCAGTGATAGGATAATATCCATATGCCTACAAGAAAGACCAGTTAATAAAACTATTATTCAAATTTACGCACCAACCACTAAGGCCAAATATGAGGAAATCGAGGATTTTTACCAACTTCTTCAGTCTAAAATTGATCGAACATGCAATCAGAATGCATTGATAATTACTGGTGATTGGAATGTGAAAGTTGGAACCAAAGAAGAAGGATCGGTAGTTGGAAAATATGGCCTTGGTGATAGAAATGATGCCAGAGATTGCATGATAGAATTTTGCAAGACCAATGACTTCTTCATTGCAAATACCTTTTTTCACCAACATAAATGGGGATTATACACATGGACCTTGCCAGATGGAATACACAGGAATCAAATCGACTACATCTGTGGAAAGAGATGATGGAAAACTCAATATTGTCAGTCAGAACAAGGCCAGGGACTGACTGAGGAACAGACCATCAATTGCTCCTATACTGAAGAAAATTATAGCAAGTCCACGAGAGCCGAAGTACAACCTTGAATATACCCCACCTGAATTTAGAGACCATCTCAAGAACAGATTTGACGCGTAACACTACTGACCAAAGACCAGACGAGTTGTGTAATGACATCAAGGACATCATACATGAAGAAAGG